CTTTGAATGCCTCGCCCTGAAAGCGTGGGTGGGTCTTCCGGATGTCACCAGCTGGGAAGTCATCAGGGGTCTTGTACGCCCCAGTGAGAAAACCTATAACAAGTACATCAGCCAACACAGAGCAGATTTGTCGCATAAAGTCCAGCATACCGCGTCCGAGAGGGCTATACGCAACAATGGCAATACCAAGCTCTCTGCACGTGTCCAAAATACCATTTTCCTTGATATCTGGGGTCCATGGCGAAAACTGGCAAACCAGATTCAGACTCAGTGTTACTTCTGATAGAAGATCAACTTACTTCGATCTGAAGTGCGCTAATGGGTACTACAGCATGAGCCCGGCGAATCTCCTCGGCGGTCGCTTCTGAGATGCCAAGGTGTTTGACTTTGCCTTCTTCTTGGAGCTTTTTGAGTTCTTTCCAAGTCTCTTCAATAGGCATAGTACGATCCACCTGCGCGTGTTCAGCAAGGAAAGCCATTAGTGAACATTGTTGGCGGCGGTGAAGATAAGTCTTACTCTGTGCTGATAGTAGAGATCGATATGATCTACTTGGAGGTTTCTCAAACTCTCTTCGCACCACCTCCTCACATCCTCTGGTTTGCCTGAAATCTTCATTGGCCCTTCCTCGGTCCAATAGGCGCCGAACTTGGTGCAGATGAAAACTTTTGATCGAAAGGATGGATCTTTGAGTAGATTTCCGAGAAGGCGCTCATTTTTACCCTAGGGTAATTTGTCAAGAATAACGGTAAAAGATTACGCTAAATCGACATTACCATTGGGCGGCCATAGACCTAGCAAAACACCGAATTGTGAGACAATGCTTTCTGTGGAATCAGTTATACACTCACTATAGAAGTGTCGATAAAGGTACATCCTTCCTCAACGGCCTAAAGACATGGGTTCAACATCACCAAGGTTGAGACTTTTGGAAGAGACTGACCGTTTTTATAACTTCAAAAGCTTCTTCCTCACTGAGCTCGTGGTGGTTTCCGTAAAATTCGCTCAGGCCCTATGATCATGGTGAGGTACAAGGACGTCCGGTCGAAGAGAAGATCAATTCAGTTCACGTTCGCCTCCACTACTCGTAACGGCATACATACCATTGCACCAAAACCAAGTGCGGTTACTACAAACCAGTACCATCATGAATAAAGAGAACAATGGACTTGTAACGTCTGGAGAACAACATACCTTTGGGACCATTTCTTCCTAATGAGCGATAGATTATCTCCGACATTCTCAGTATGATACTAA